ATACTTTGAGCAGGTTTATCATGTGAAATTAAATATTTATGTACCAGGAATAAAATTCTTAATATAAGAAGAAACACTGACACCTGCTGGTAGAGTCAGTAACAGCTACAAACAAAAGTGATGTTGAACAGGAGTTTATAATCACGACGAGATAATGATGATGAATAGTGTGTAATTGATCTGATTGGTCAGTGGTTTGGTCATTGGCGGGTTTCGATCTCTTATCTCAACTTAACCTGCTCCGGAGTCGGTTAGTGATTAAGCATCAGTTGCCATGGTGATTTACCTCGGCAACAAGTGAAGCAGCTTCATAGGACTTAAAGGAGTTAAACCTGGATAAGGTTCAGGACCCAGATCTGAGACCTGAACTGGACAAAATGTCCTCACAACTATGGTTTTATACCAAACTTTGTTCTCACAGACATAGAAAGACATGAACACACACACATACACACACACACACACACACGGACTGTCGGGAGCTGAGTGAAGCTAGAGTCTGAGTTTCCAAACATCTGACACCCACGTTCTCTTTCTGATTAGTTCTCATCAGTCACATGACTCGACTATCAGCGGTGAACACAATGTGCGCTAACACTTCCTGTCAGTCACAGTTCAGCCTCGTCATCCGAAAAGAAATCCCTGCTCTTACTTTTCACCTTCGCTGAGCACTAAGCAACAAACCGCAGAGTTGACAATCTACTTCCTGTTTACACCACATGACCAGTGCACGTGAATGGTCATGTGACAGGTGTGTTAGTGTGGACACAGAGCTGAAGCCCTTGTCTGGACGAAGGTAACCTTTGTCAATGTGGGCGGAGCCTAGAATTACATAATATATCTTTCATCAAAATGAGAAAAATACTCGGTTCAATGTAAACAAAAGACAAGAAGACATTTTTTATATCTGAGCTGGAAATGAAATCGTGATTTTGTTTCTTTGACGAATGATCAGTTCTGATGTCGATTTGCAGGAACTCAAAAAGTGCCACATGAAGAAGAGTTCAGTGGTGGAGCTAGTTTTCTTACAGATGTGCGAACGCTCTTAAACACTTGGCAGAAAAGACAATGATATAAAAAACACACCAAGCCTGTTGAATTGACTCTTCAGCCTCACATCAGCTCCTGACGGTGACATTTCCCAGCCTCAGCAGTGACGTAAACGCAGCTCCAAGCCATCGTGTTTGACTGTTCTCTAGAGCATGACTCTATTTTTCTATTAGAGACGACGAGTTTATTTTGTCAATAAAGTTTAAAGAGTGAACGAAGCCTTAAAGATTCTGAGCTGCAGCAGAAGAAAGAAACGGTCGATGTTTTTAAACTGCATGATGAACAAAAAGCCATTTACAGACGACATTGTGACGTTATGCTAACATTTCTCTCACCAGCAGAACACCAAGAATGTTTTTATATTCATCAGCAGGAGCATTGCATTCTGGGTAATGTCTAGGTTTGTTTAGAGCTGGAGGTCCACTGTAAAAAATGATGTGCCGCCTTGAACAGGAAGTTTCAACGACCGTTTTATCTTTTATCTGCAACAATAAAGTTTGATTTGATGTTAAAGCAAATCACAGAAACATTTTCTACGAATCAGCGCAGTGATTGATCATCGATGTTTGAGTTACGTTTGTTCTCGCCTCCGTGAGTCCAACATGTTTGACCCTCCAAAATAAAAGTGGCACAACATTTTCACGTGTCCGTTAATCCAGCGTTGTTGCAAACAAAAGGTTGTTTCACCTCATGTGTGACGCGTTTTGTGATATTTGTGAGCGACGGCATGTTGTCGTCCGGAGCTTTCTGTCCGATCAGCTGCTGTTGCTATGCAGAAGAATCGATGTCAGTGAAAAGTTTAGAAATCTCTGATTGGATTGTTCTCACAGCCGTTCGCTTTACTAAGTATGTTCTGTGACCTTTGACCTTTTTCTCAGGTCACTGTTTGTTTTGATGATTCAGAACAACCATCTACCTGCATCTGGTCGTTTACTGTTTTAACATCTAACTTGTCACACTCAGAGGTGCTGAGTGTGTCCCATGATCCTTTGCTGCAGGATGAGGCGGACAGAAAGCTCCGGAAGCCTTTGATCTTCTAATTGTAAAGTTCTTATCTTCAGATGTTTTTGTGCACATACATGAAATATAACCTGAATCTATATATTCTGTACGGACGAGTGTTCTTCATGTGTTGTTTCCGTGGCCAGTCGTCGCTGTCAGATCCCGCGTGGCCCTGCCCCTCCTGGCCTCTGATTGGTCAAGGAGTTTATTGATGTAAGGGGCGGGGCCTGCTTTTATTTTTCTGAGACAGAGTTCAATGTGTCCACGACTTATTTACTGGAAAAACTAAAGATATTTTTTATGGACTTTGGTGTAAATGTTCTTCAGAGGATTCTTCTTGTTTTCTACGAACACACACACACACACACACACACACACACACACACACACACACTCTCTATGCCTGTGATAGACACTCACTGTCTTCCCCCAAACTTGAACCTTAAAACTGCGTAAAAAAATAAAAGTCTGGACTTGGGACGTCACAGTGACACAATCCTGCAGTGGGAAATAGAAACACACACACACACACACACACACACACACACACATTGGAGTACAATAATAAAACTATTTTGTTGTGTACACTCTGACTCGTCACTGACTCTCCTCTCCCCTTTTATTTTTATTATCGTGAATTAAATCAACTTCTATGTTTGGTGTCAGGTGAACAGACGACGCCTTTGTCCTGGTGAGTCAGATATTTAGACGCCATTGGTCAGAAAATCATTTCAATTTCACCAGATGTGACGTCACCACAGGCGTGTCAGCTGAGAGGCGGGGCTTATTATGAGTGCCACCTCCTCCACTGACCATTGAAGCTGCGTTGAAAGAAATCTGTGAAACTAAATAACAAGTCACTAAAACTAATTAACAAGTAACTGAACACTCCGCAACCAGTAGTTAACACTAAGTATCTAGTAACCAAAACTTTGGAACTAGTAATTAAGACCAATTAACTTAAGACAAATACCAAGTAACCAGGGACTAAAACTAAGTTTCTAGTCAGTCATGTGTTGTGAGGACGAGCTGTGATTGTGTTAAAGTCGACTTTGTTTTTCAGAAACAATCAGCTGACTCATCAGTGATGATCACCATCGATGAGCTGTCACCATGACGACCGCACACCCAGCACCCGATCAATATGATTCATCCTCGAGCTGAAAACAATCTGATGCTCAGAAACAAGCGAACACACGAGGGAAACAAACTGATTTTTTTATTTCATCCTTTAAATTTGATTCGTGAAAATAAAATGTGAATTTGAAAAAAAAGATGTGGAAGAAAAAAAAGTTACAGAAAGATTTTGTTTTATTTAACATGTACTTTGATTTCTTTTTGGTTGGTCCATGTCCCATCTGCCAACATGGAGGAGGAGGCGTCCATGACCTGCTTCCAGCCACCAGGGGGCGAGCCAGAGGTTATGGAACTGTAATATCATTGGCTCAGAGGAAACGTCATCGAGGTCGTGTTCAACAACAATGTTGATGTTTGAGTCATGTTGTTAACCTGGTGTGTTCAGGGACCCTGGGAAAATGAAGATATCATTATATCCTGACAATGAAAAATGTTATATATATATATATCCCCCTCCCCCCCCCGCACCTTTCACACACATGCGCACACACACTGACTGACGGGAATTAATGTTTACTTCAGTGTTAATCCAAACTAAGCTGGATTTCAGAGGCAGCAGGATTGTCTTTACTCAGCAGGAGTTCACACTGGGAAACACACACACACACACACACACACACACACAGTGGAAGTCAACAGGATGTATATTCTAAGTGATTATCTATAAATGTACTGTAGATAACATTTGAAAGGCTAAAACTAATCCCTGGACATAAACAATAATCTGAGTCATTTTAACTGAACAACAACTGAAACAGCTCAGACTTTATTTTGTGTGAACACAACGTGTGTGTGTGTGTGTGTGTGTGTGTGTGTGTTACCTGCGTGTGTCTACAGACGCTTCACACACACTTAAATCAGACTCACAGTGAGACCAGAGTTCATCCATGTGCATTTCATCTGTTTTACACAAATGTTAGGTTTGATGGTTTTAAAGCTAACAGCTAATGTTAGCTCTATAGCCACAGTAACAATAGTAGAATAAATACGACTATAAGTAAATGAAGATAAACACGTCTTCACTTCCTTCTTCTATCCAGAAATGAAAGGATCGCTGCCGTTTTACACCAAGAGAGAAACCGTTTCTGAAAAACGTTTCTTTAACGTCTACTTTGTTTTTTTTTTGGGAGGAGGCGGGGCTAATAACATAATGCAGCCAGCCACCAGGGGGCGATCGCGTTGGTTTGGCTTCACTTTTGGGTGCTGTCGTGTCGTCCATGATTATTTACAGTCTGTAGTATAAACAAGATGAGTCAGTGAAGGCCTCGTACAGTAACTGACTCATGTAGGTTTACTGGATCACTGTGACATCACTGTGACATCACTGTGACATCACTGTGACATCACTGTGACATCACTGTGACATCACTGACCATGATGTTGTGCTACTCTACTCATAAATATTGTACTTTTACTTCATTACATTTATCCGATCGATTACTTTTCACATTCAGATCAATAAAATAAAAAATCAGGTCAACGTTCATCTGAAACTTTCACCTGTTGATGCTGACGTGACTTTAGTTCCTCGGTCAAATGTCTAATTCAGGATTTTCACCTGTAAAACTTGGAGCGAGGTAATAAGTTACTTCAGTGACTGAGACAAACAACAAGAGAAGAAGAAGAAGAGACTCATCTGGAGAATCTGGAGCATTACGTCATGTCACCCCCCCCCCCCCCACATCATCGCCTCTGTGCAGCATCCGGGCTGTGATTGGTCCTTCACCCAGTGGCCTATAAATGCCATTGGCTGCTGTGGAGTCAGCTGCTGCGGACCTGACAGAGGACACGAGAGAGAGCGAGAGAGAGAGAGAGCGATGAGAAGGACCCGGTCCTGATCTGATCCGGATCAACTGAACCACAACCAGCACGAAAGCGTCCCGATCCGCAACCGGACCCGGTTCATCTCTGTCGGACTCAGCCCGCACGGTGCACCCGCTGTGCCTCGGCTCGGTTCGGCTCGGAGCGGTAACAAGGTGAGAACATGGGCGTCTGTTCTTCATCAGGACCGAGTGATGATGATGATGATGATGATGATGATGATGGAGACTCGTTGAACATGGATGATAACACACACTGTCCCATAGTGTGTGTGTGTGTGTGTGTGTGTGTGTGTGTGTGTGTGTGTGTGTGTGTGTGTGTGTGTGTGTGTGAAGATGATGCTCTGAATGACACGGAGCTAAATCACGGTGACACCTAAACTTGTCTATAGATAATTGATCTTTGGTTCTAGATGATAAAATACACTGTGACACCGTCTCAGAGAATTCAATAATAATAATAACGGAACCAACTCATTCACTTCCATAAGAATAATAATGTTCACCTCATTAAAGGAGCAGCTGGTAGGATGTGGTTAGCTGAGCTTAGCATAAACACTGTAATCTGGGGGAAAGTGTTAGCTTGTCCCGAGGAAACACATCCTCCTCCTGCAGCTGTGAAGTTCCCTCAAAACTGTTGGAACTCTTTCCTGATGGACGCAGCGTGTCCCTCACCCTCTGAGTAGTGAAGACTAAATGTCTCGGGGGGGACAGACGCTGGGCTGCAGTCTGGACTCAGCATCACTCACCCGTAAAGTTAGTTTCATGACAACTGGAATCAAACATGATGTGGTACACACGTTCACTACCGGCCCAAATATGAAACATCGAAGGTCCCTGTGACCTCATCACACGTTTTGGGAGTGTGACACGCTAATTATGACAGAATTAAAAAATAAAATGATGAAGCCACGTTTTATTTCCAAGGGGTCGAAGGTCAACGTCAGTGTTGTACTGCAGGAAAGTGTCTCAGGTTCTGACACTTTATTCAATCTCACAGTCGTGAAACATTTAGCTCGTTAGCTCGTCCCACGCTCTTTGAGGAGATGTAGCTGACGTTTGGGTTTTTTTGTCGTTGGTGTTTAGTGATGATGTCAGAATCTTCAGTCGAGAGTCAGGAAGTCGTAAACGTGTGACATTGCCATCGTTACCTTCAGTCCCACGTGACTGAACGTAGCATGAGAATCATGATGTGCTAATTCATACTCATGTTACAGTCGGTGTTGTTAGATTAGTCAGGAGACAGAAACTGTCGTTTGAAGGTGCCATTTTCTAAGATTTACTAAATAGCAAACCTTTAGCTACATAGCTGACATTAGCTTAGGTTAGCATTAGCAGCTGGTCCATCAGAAACAAACTCTCTAGAGGTGAAAGCAACACCAATGTTATCACTTCCTCTATTTCTATCACGTCTTTGCTTCTTCTAAAGTTAGCATGCTAACAGCTAGCTCTGGTGTAACGTCTGGTCCTGGTCTGATCACTAGAACAGGTTAGGGTCAGGTTCAGGACTGAGTTAGCAGTAGCATTAGCGATATTCTTTGTGGTTAAGGTGACGATGAGGTGCAGGGAACACGTTGTGTCTTTAAGCGTCCTCACCAAGATAGAAGTTCAAGCACACATGTGTGTGTGAGACCGCTCAGAGGTAATTAACCAGCGGCTCCTGCTCTCCTCCAATCACATCCTCTGCAGCAAGACACTTAACGAGGCGCCCACAGCTCGTTAAATTATTAACACCACCTCATCAATATTCCATCTGTTCAGCAGCAGCTGAGGGGGAGGAGATGTGTTCAGATGTTGGAGCAGAGAGACGGACCCTCCCTCAGTCTGTCCTGTACAAGAAGGAGGAGGTCCAGAGGTTTGAACGCCCGGCCTCGCCATGCTGCATTCAGGTTCAGTTTGGAAATATTGATACGCCTGCTGGAACAAACAGGAGCATCAAATAAAATCCAGCTCTCAGTACAAAAGAAAACAATGAAAACACAAGTAACCTTTCTACAAATTTCCTGCAACCCAAGCTCGTGTGGTAGATTAGAAGTACTGAAGTCGAGTACATATACTTAGTCCCTTTCCAGAATGTGATATCTCACAGCTGAATCAGTTCTCTGTGATGATCAGTGTTTATTTGGGACACAGTGAGTGGACCAATCACAGAACAGCTGAGGTCGCTCCCATCACTTTGTCCTCCTGTGTCACTTCCTGTGTGGTTGCCATGGCACCAGAGGCAAAGGGTTCCGTTTCCTGTCCCACTGAGTCTGACTGGAAGTCCCCAACAACAACAACAACAACAACAACAACAACAACAACAACAACAACAACAACAACAACAACAACAACTGTCTGGTTCCATTAGGTCTAAAGAAATGTGTCTCTCTCCAACTGCAGTGCCGTTGTCTCTCGATGTGTGTGTGTGTGTGTTTCTTGTATTGCTTTTGTTGTGGGGGATGTTATTTTTTTCTCAGCTTCTTTCAGTGGACGTAAAGTCCCCATAATG